AAAAAAAAATTAGCTAGGTGTGGTGACTGGTGCCTGTAATCACAGCTACTCGGGAGGCTGAGGCAGGCAAAGCACTTGAACCCTGTAGGCAAGGGTTGCAGTGAACCAAGATCGCCCCACTGCACTCCAGCCTCCGCAAATTGAAGACAAATAAGTAAAATGTTGCTGTTTGTAGATCATGTAACCTTATATATAAAAATACATAAATACGGGGGTGGGGAGTTGGGGAGAGGTAGCATGGGGAGAAAAGCCAGATATAGGTGAAGGGGAGGAAGGCAACAAATCACACTGCCAAGTGTGTACCTATGCAACAATCTTGCATGTTCTTCACATGTACCCCAATACCTAAAATGCAATAAAAAATAAATAAATAAAAATACATAAACAGTACATTAAAACCTATCTAAACTAATAACTACACTCAGTAAATTACCAAATACAAAATTAACATACAAGTTATGGTTCTATGAACTTAAATTGTCTAATAAAATAAAGGAAAAAAATATTATTTACCAATAGCATTAAAATAATTTCTGGCCGGGCTTGGTGGTTCATGCCTATAATCTCAGCACTTTGGGAGACTGAGGTGGGTGGATCACCTGAAGTCAGAAGTTCAAGACCTGTCTGGCCAACATGGTGAAACCCAATCTCTATAATAATAATAGTAATAATAATAATAATAATAATTTATTTCCAAGGACAAATTCACCCAAGAAAGTAAAAAGCAATTTTTTGTTTTTTGAGATGCAGTCTCGCTCTTGGTGTGATCTCGGCTCATTGCAACCACCACCTCCCAGGTTCAAGCAATTCTGCTGCTTCAGGCTCCCAAGTAGCTGGGATTACAGGCATCCACCATTACATCTGGCTAATTTTGTATTTTTAATAGAGACGGGGTTTCTTCGTGTTGGTCAGGCTGGTCATGAACTCCTGACCTCAGGTGTTCTGCCTGCCTCGGCCTCCCAAAGTGCTGTGATTACAGGCGTGAGCCACTGCACCTGGCCAAAAAAAAATTTTACAATAAAAGGTATAAGATTTCAATAGAAGAAATTAGAGAAGACATAAGTTGAGTTTTAAAATATTTTATATCTATGGATTTAAATATTATTAAAGTGCCATGTTATCCATAGTAATTTACAGATTCAATAAACTACCAAAATTCCTGTGCCTTTTTTTTTTAACAGTAATAGAAAATACAATCCCTAATTTTATATGAAACTACAATAAATCTTTTTTTTTTTTTTTTTTTTTGAGATAGAGTTTCACTCGTTGCCTAGGCTAGAGTACACTGATGTGATCTTGGCTCACTTTAACCTCTACACCTGGATTTAAGCAATTCTCCCGCCTCAACCTCCTGAGTAGCTGGGATTACAGGCACGCACCACCACACTTGGTATTTTTAGTGTTTTTTTGTTGTTGTTAGTAGAAACAGCGTTTTGTACTTTTAGTAGAAACAAGGTTTTGCCATGTTGGTCAGGCTGTCTTGAACTCCTGACCTCAGGCGATCTACCTGCCTCAGCTTTTGAAAGTGCTGGGATAGGCCGGGCGTGGTGGCTCAAGCCTGTAATCCCAGCACT